TGTATTGTATAAAATTACGCCCTGATGAACACTACCAAATAAGTACATTCTATGGTTATTAACTCAATAACTTCTTGCTTAATTTCAACGTAAATCCGTTCACGACATAATCTATGAATCTGTATACTGCATGGTAACAAAATGGATCTTGCTACAACTGTAGATCAATCTGGAATTAACCTGTGAGAAGTTGATATACAGTCTAAATACTAGCTGCACAGTTTATCAACCATATTGATGTCCCCCTACTTATCACTTATCAGCATTATTCTATATACATTCTTCTTGGCAACTCCTTATCCTAGACTTTAAGTCACTTCGTCACCCATGTTCAAATCTAGGGATAAGTTTTTGTTTTTGATAAAATTCCACTTCTTTTCCTTTTTTCCAAGACTACTTTATTTGTTATTATTTTTTATATATCGTTTGTGCTTTGAAGTTTCTTTAGCGGTTACATTGTTTTCAGGAGTAGGGTTGCTAGCCCTATGCCCAACCTTCCCTCTTTACCCGGGCTTAAGACCGGCTAATAACTAGTGAACTAGGCGAGGTTATTCACAGTATGATACAATACCGTCATTTGAACGGATATTTATACATTGATTTTCCAGGAGAGAATAGAATACAAATCTAGGCTTTTTAAAACCAAAACTGTATACAGTCTCATCCTGTGGGGCAATCACACGGGTACCTTCACCCCGGTGGACTAGTCAACGTTGTTTTAATTTTGAGACTTGAGACAACGGATAGCGGTTCCAGCTTCCACTTTAGTCAATTTTCGCCCAAGCCGAATATGCGAATTTAACCAGCTTTCAATGTCATAACGATCCTAGTTATCATCTATTATACAGCTTGAAACGGGACGTCTGTTGGTAAATGGGTTGCTTTAAGGAAGCCTTATTACTTCCGGATATTTATGATGTTGTATTCATCTTGGTAACTTTCAGTGAAATCCAGGTTGTGTGTTCCGTCTTATTTAGGACTCGTCATCTAGATATACCTGCACCCCGGTAAGTGTTGTTATTCCTACTAAGACTCGAACTTAGTACTCATCGCTTCAAACACCAAAGTGTTATCCGCTGGGACACGAGAGTCACCTCTTGTGTGACAGATTTCAGTTGCTGTTTATTGGTACTTGTGATCTCCCATTTCTCTACTGCCTGGAATTTTTCAATCTCTCAGTAGGAACATCACTCACTGAGGAGTAGGTACATCCAGCTGATGAGTCCTAAACAGGATGAAACATACATGATAGATTGGACTATAAATCGGTAAGTAGACTATAAAAGATTGTCTCGCGTGTTAAAATGCTCCTTGTAGTATCTGCTAAGGTGGTTTGTAAATCTTGTTTCTCTATTCAGAAGGTTCATAGGTCGGTTTTCTGCTCAACTAACTTCGTCTGAAAACTTCATACCTTATGTTACTTAAATTTATTTTTGTTAGTAGCATAGACAACATATGTTCCACCTACTTTAAATTTACGTGGAATACTGGATTGGATTCATGTGGAGAATGATAATTTGTGGAGTAATAACAACTTAGTTCGTGTCATTTATGTAAAAATACTTGTAAACTGAATTATGTCATCCCTAATACGTTTAGATGATAAATCTTTGTATGATGTCAACATTCTATAGAGTTCTGTTTGAATAAGACTGGTATGAAACCCCTTCGAATGCTTCTCGGTTGTGTTTGTTGGCTAGATCACTCATAGAAAGAGTGGGATAAATTATTGAAGGTATCATATACAGGGTTAAGAAGTTAGGTATGTAAAAGAAAATGAGATGATAGAATTACGGAATGGAATACTCTGATATGGATAAACAAGCCTACAATTGAACACTTATATAAAAAGTTGACAAAGCAATTAGATTACACTTAACCTTAAACTCTTATCCAACTTTGGTCATTGTAAATTGAACACATATATACACGTATACGCATATTAATGCATCACCTTGTATCAACTGTATGCTGGTTTAGTCAACTTTTCTTATCCCAATATATAGGTGTATTAAGTACTAGTTTGACTATCTGACATAATAGTGGTTTGACACATTTGTATTGATACTGGATGACCATCTCACCAGGAACTCAATAGTCAGTGATCCAAGTTGTACGAGATCATTTTTATATAACCATGAACGCCAATAAAGCAGTATCAGCAATAGCCTTGAGTTCAAGGCCGAATTTCATCTAGGAGGGTTTAAAATGGTGACAATTTGTTTTGGGCATGTTTAGGCTAATGCCGCAATAAGCTCCAAAATACTTCCCCAAGAGATCCTAATAAGATAAGAAATCTAGAGAAAAAGCTCGCCTATAGCTCTGCAAGTGATGACACACAATCACACAGTAGGATGGGATAGGGTGACAGTGTTGAAAACTAACCTAGTTGGGTGGAGTAAGGAAGAGATTGATAACCGAATGTTTGTTTATCGAATGAACACCAAATACTTGCAGTAATAGAAATGATTCTGCACCTGTCGCACATATATGCAAAATTCTACTACCCTTGTCATCACACAGAAGGAGAGAGAATTGGGACTACATAAACTCTGTCTCAAAGTTGTAGAGGAGTTACCTGATATGAATATGGACAATAAATTAGGTCCGAAACTATGTTATCCAGTAAATGCTACTGTTTCACTGTGTGATATTTCTAATAAACAGACTAAAATGGAATTACAATCGACTACAGTGCCCAAGTTTTACTCTTATACATATACACGAGCTTAAATGACGTTTGTACATTCTTTTTTTTTTCGCACCGTTTCAACAATACGGTTTGCTCTTGAGGGGCCCGTATGTATGTTTCCAGCATCAATCGGGTCAAGCAACTTTATTTGTATATATTTGAAGAAACATTATTTGAAATATCTCAATAACTCATTTACACTTATTTTGTGTATATTTTTCGCACCGTAATGTTTTGAATAGTTTCAATGTTCGAATCTAGGTCAAGGACATATTTTTTTCTTCAAAAAATGGATAAAAGATGCACAAATGAAATTGTTGTTTTCCCCTTTTAGTTGTAAAATTTAGTGACAAATTCTGAAACGTTAGCAATGAATAAACATAAATGTATATATACTTGTTTCGATTCCAATTGTTAAATAGCGCATCAACCATCGATTTTTGCTTTGAGTAAAACTGATTAAAAGAAATAAAAAACAGTACGATATTCTCATTCAATTTCAACGTGCATAATTAAACGTTCGGATCGACTGTGGTTTCTTAGTTTATAAGCAATAAACAGCTTGCTGTCTTGACAGTAATGAACGACAGTGGCTAGCTGTGGTATCCAGGACGTGGGTCCTATCTAGGATTCTTTGGGTTTATGTACCTGAAAACACTTATTGATAATTTGTGAGTATATCTCCACGTTGATGGATTTTGGACCGAATCGCTCAAACCTCACAAGGTATCCAAGTGTAACCTGTGACACAAAAGTTACGTGGGCTGATAAAATATATAAAATTTACTGATTAACCATCGACTTGAGGACATGGGGGTTCATTGAATTTAGGGACCAGCTTCAGTTGATTGGAATAATTCGGTTATGTCGATGATCTGGCCTTAAGATCACTTTGATCTGGTTAGCGTAACCTCCAGATGACTACTAGCGCTGTTCAGTAGTATATGTTGTTACTTCTACAGTCTTTAATCATTATCCTCTTTGTCAATACTGATGCAGTATGATCATTCACCTATTCACTGTAGTACCCACAAATGAGATTGCAATTAAAACGATTGCCAACAAGGTTTTTCACAATAGATTAATCAGCAACAAACGTAAACACATACAACACTGATGGATGTTTGTTAGCACTGGAATCTTGGGCATGTTTGCCGTCCTGTTTAGAACTCGTCAGCTGGATGTGCCTGCCTTCCAGTGAGCGATGTTGTATGTTTGCATGATCCAACGCCAAAGAAACAAGCTACTAAAGCCTGTATAATAATTATGTTCAAACTTGATAAGTTAGTCGTTTGACTCTTTCAGTATATTTGCCTGATATAAAGTGTGGCTACATGACTGTTTTAAGTATGAGAACGTTTACGTTGTAACTAACACTAGCATTTCATATGAAGGAGTTGCTTATTCGAAAATTTTTCCAGCATACTAGTGCGACATATAGAAAATAAGGTATATATCTAGTTTTTTCATGTTATTTGGCTGTTAATTAAACGGTGACATTCCTGTCGATTCACAGCGTGCAAAATGTTAGACTGCAATCAGTCGGAAAGACACCATAATGTAGATTAATCAGCACTTGTGGTTGACAGGAGCATTACCTGTCAACGCACCTAGTCATTGTGCCACAGTAATGAGATGCAATTTGATTGAAAAGTATTTCTCTAAAGTATAGTCGACAGCTTTACCTTTTTATCGTAAGACATAGTTTTGGTCTGTTTAACGTTAATGAAATGTCTAACCCACTCTACTGGAATACAGTGGGTGGTTTTCTGTATTTTCACCCCATGTACTAAAAGAAAGTATCTTAAATATGATTTGTTTCGGTAAAGTGAAAAGAAAAAGAGCCATTAAATTGTTTGTAAGGGTTGTTGAAAGCACGTTTTAGTAGTCTCAGCCTAAATGTGCAATTTTTCTTCGTCATTACGTAGTTACAGTCAGAGTTTGGGGATTTATCAAGTGATATGGAATTGATAAACACAAACGGTTCCAAAGACACACTTGATATACTGCTGACTATTATGAGGAGTTCAGGGCCCAAGAAGCTGATAAGCGATGCTTTTTTACCAGATCAGAGTGATCTAAGCACTAGACGGCCGTTTCAGACCTTTGGTGCCGTACCCGTCAAAATTGTACCAGGATTTATTCAGATCGGAGAACTGAATTGTTCTGATTAGCCACTTGAGTGGATTGTTCACCTCTAGAGAAATTTCATCAAACAACCAAACAGGCAAATACTTTATTTGTTTTGGAACATATTCTTTAAACGATCTAACAAGTCTCACTCATTTATTCTGTGTGTATTTGCCAGGTACTTACAAGAGACTCTGTGACAGTTGCTGTGGATGCTGTTGTTTACTACCGGATATACAATCCAATCGTAGCAATCACAATGTTGAAGATGCTGACCGTTCAACACGTCTTCTAGCAGCGACTACACTGAGAAATGTATTGGGTACAAAGAATTTGTCAGAAATTCTATCAGAACGCGATACAATCTCCGGTATGATGCAGGTAAGCAATATGATTTCTGAAGTTGGGTGAAAAAAGAATTATATATAGTTTTAACAAGGGTGAAGTGAAAAATGACATAGAATTATGAATTATTTCACTCCAATTCCGTTGTCAATATTTGTTAAGTTCGCTAAGCGGTTTCCTTAAAACTTAGCCTATCAAAATGTTTCCATCGAGTATACTTTTATTTAATGCTTCCCTTTTAGTTTTTTTAGTCTTTGTAGTGTCTTCTGAAAGTATCATGTACTGTCGTACACTTTTCAAGATGTTTTTTAACTATTGTTTCTCACAGTAAGAACAAAAAAAGGAGAAAATTTGAGGCTGGATGGAAATGCTCGAAAACATAGCACATAAATATTCCTAAGATACCTATATGGAATTACAGATTTTTGTACTGGCTGTCTGAACTATAATTATAAAAATAACACTCGATTTTATTTTCATTCACTAGTCTAGACCAGATGTAGCACCAGCTGGCTATTTCACATTAGTGTAATTATTACTATTATTACCAACAGTATTCAGACTTAGTAATTATTTTTTCTTATAATATTGTATAGACAGAGAATATTTGGTAATGTTACATGCTAAGAATTCCATACTGTATCACACATGTTGGTTTGGAGTAAAATGATTATTATTATGTCAGTCTACGATGAATAACAACTTGAAATAATTCCAAATCTCCACAACCCCCTCAAAATTTAATTGAACTGGTGCTCATTGGTGACTAGTTTCGAGAAGTATTCCCGAAGTTCCAATGACAAGTCGTGACCGGAGGAGTCAAAGCCTGATGGCCATGAGGACAAATACTCAAAGATGACATTGGGTGGCGGTTGCGCTATATATCGTGAGCTAACAGAAGTTGGAAATATGGAGCATTGGATTCCGACCCAGTGGCTCAATGGTAACGCGCTGGCCGCGGAACCTGAAGGTCGTGGGTTCGATCCCTGCTGGTGGGGTCGTGGGTGCGCACTGCTGAGGAGTCCCATACTAGTGGGACGAAACAGCTGTCCAGTGCTCCCAGGTTTCCTTTGTTCCTCCAACTAACGTCAGTCTACGATGAATAACAACTTGAAATTATTATTATCATTATTATTAAAAGTTTAAAGCTTAGATTCCTATTATTGTATTCGACAAATTATCACAGTCATTACAGATGTTCTTTATGAAGTAAGTTTTCAAGTTATCACTCATTTTCAAATAAAAAAATGTAAACTTTACAAGAAGTTGACCTAGCTAGGTTTTCGTGTTCCAAAATAGGCTTTGTAGGTTAAAATATCCTACTGACCCAATTAAGCAGAATAATTTTAGTCTAACAAATCCCTTGCAACGATTACCAGGTCAAATACATAGGTTAAAGTAGTCGACCAGGGTCAATTAGGCTATTGAAACACAAAAAACGAGATAGGTCCTAGTAAGGTAAGGAATTTAGAAAAAAGCTCAGCCATAGCTATGCATGCAATTACACACAACCACAGAATAGGATGGGACAGGGTGAAAATTCTTAAAACTAACACGGGAGGGTGGAGGGAGAGATTGATAACTGAATCTTTGTTTATCGAATCAACCAACACCGAATGCATGCAACAAGAATGACTGAGTACCTGTTCCGGATATATGAAAAATCTTACAACCCATCTCACAAGGAGATTAAGAAATTAGGACTATATAAAGGATATCTCAAAGTTGTGATATGACCATGGACAATAAATTATGTCCGAAACGTAATCCAGTAAACAATACTGTTCCTTCGCTATGTGATAAATCTAATAAATCAATAAAAATGGAATTACATTCTACCACACCGCTCAAGTTTTACTCTTATATTCATCAAACTATTGTTTAACAGTCTTGCACATAACTGAAACCTCATAATCAAATGTTACTTGTAATTTTATGGGTGATAAACTGTTATCACCATTCTGATTGTTTATCTCTTTCATAAAGTCTTAATCTTGATGAGACACTTTCCTTCATCCTGTTGGAAATCTATTGAGTCGTGAATGTGCACAGATGTATACGTTTATCTATTTCTATGTTTTTTAGACAATGCTCGATGAAGCTACAGATCCATGGGGTGTAAAAGTGGAACGCGTTGAAGTGTAAGTCAACCCAATGTTTTCTTATTGTTGGAAATGACATATTTGTGTCTTTATTTGCTAAATACTGCAAAACGACAATATGATATGATGATACTTTGCTTGTTTCTGGGTTCTGAATCTTATGATATTACTAATGAAAAAGTCAGCTTGCATGAGGTTATTACATCTGTGCTAAAGCAATAGAAATCGAAAAATACCAAAGCTTTATCATTCAAATGTCAAGCTTGAAATTGCTTTCGTTACTCCATATAGCACCATATAATGAAAAGTAGATCCTCTGCTTGTTGAAGTTTGTTCAGACTGAGGCACTGAATGTATCGTTTTTTATACCAAGCTAACATGAGTTATTTATCATTTAAATTGTTTCTATTACTCATGTGTAAATTTCAATTTATTTCACTGATACTGAACCTAGAGAAGAAGAAGAGAAAGAAAATGGCATTTTTATTGTTATTAAGGTACCAGATGTGTTTTATTTTAGTATGAAAGTTTTAAGAGAAAAAGTGTACTTGTCATCTATATGTTAAAGGAACGTTTGGTTCAGTAGATTGTCAAAAAAGGTTAGCTAAGAAATGTGTCACACTTGAAATGAAGTGAATGAAATGAATCAGTGATAGTTAGTGTTTCTATGAGGCTGGGAGTCATCAGCTACCTAGAAAAAGGAATTCAGCTGTTTGCACAGATTTAAGAAATGAAATTAAAATAGGTTCAGAAATTGTGAAACGTTTCAGAAGAATGGTTACTAAGCCACTAAGATGATGTTTCACTGACTTTGATGCAAGATTCATCTGATTGTCTGATTTCAGCTATACCTTAATCATTAATTTGAATGATTTTGTGATCTCAGGTTTTCAATGTTTATTTATAGTTCTAAAATATGTAGTCATACCTTATATCTACTAGTCAGATGAAGTGAACTAATGCAAACATTGTGCTTATAAGATGACTACAGTAGAGAGTTTGGCACTCAGTTCAACTAACTACTTTTTTTTCATCATGTAACACGCAGCCTCTTGCATGCTCTGGATTGAAAAATGGTCCAAAAATTACTATCCAGTCGGTAAACAAATAAACAAATATGTTATTTTCATAATTTAACATGAGAGGAGCCAATTTACAGGTATCATCATATTGACAAATGATTATGACTAGCTGAGAAAACCACAGTTTCGCAGACTAGTATTTTTACTGGGTGATGATTGAAGATGAAATAAAAATTTGGATCGCAGGCGGATTCGGACCAGCGATCACTGGGTTTCCGACCCAATGCTCTATCAACTGAGCTACGAGGTACGAATCCTCAGCAGATTTTTATTGATGAGTCCACATTACAGTCGGACAAAACGCTTGATGATTGAAGTGAAATGAAAAATCTGGTCAGTAGTTAGACCTCATAACCGAGTTGGTTGAGCATCCGGCCGATAACCTGATGGTTGCTGGTCTGAATCCGCCCGCGGTCCAAATTTTCATTTAACCTTCAATGATCACCTAGTATATTGATAATTGTTAAAACGTCTACAAGATTTCAGTTATCCTGAATGGTAAAGAATGGAGGTCATTAAACCTTATCATAACATCAAAAGAATCTGCTAGTTATAAAAGGAACAAGGCTGGCAGCTGTAAAAATTTGATTACACTGTAGTTAGTATCCCATTTTAGGGATATTTGGTAAACCGTTTACACTGAAGTTGCCTTGCTTTGAAGCTTAAGTATATGACCATAGTGTATGTAGCGGAAATATTTAAGGGGTGTGTACCAATCTTATTAGATTTTTGGAGTATGATTGGACCATTCTATATCAGTTACATCATATAGCAATTCAAGAATTCTTCTCGATTCTAATTAAGAGTCTTCAATAACCTATTCACCTACGATTTATTATTTATTCATGTTGAATATTTCAATTGTAATAAACAGTTTGACATTTCTATAGGGAAAGAAAGTGAAACTATGAAAGTGAAGTTATTTTCCTTTTGTTTATGATCAATTTTTCATTATATCACGCAATTTAAAAGGAGAAATAAACAAAGATGAAGAAATATAAGTAGTTGTTGACATTATTTTCACACTTGATTGTTAAAGTAATGTTCACATCAAACATAATGAAGATTTCAAAGGAGAAGATTTTATGTTTTACTTCGATATTTCCATCGGTTTCTCTCATCTCATTTACATTTTCCTACCCATGGTTGTTGTGGCTTCACAATGTTACTTTCTTTAGTTGTATATAACTGTGATATTTCATCACATATCCCATGCTATGGTGGTAATCATCGAGGACTGAAATACAACAAGATAATAAATAAGGTCAAAAGTTGGTAAACACAATTTTTACTGTCATATTACTATCAGAAAGGAGATTATGAGTCACGACATGTGTTGAAATCGAAATATTAAGATCAAGGGTAGGGATTCAAAGCAATCTAGTTTATCGCTCTAAATATTCATTTTTCTTAAGTATATATGAGAAAAAGGTTTTTTAATCGATGAGTTGTAGAAAAACAGTGTAATAATAGCAACATAACTTTGTATTTTTCAACAACTTTAAGTGTTTAGTCCCGAAAATTTGCATAACCGTATGGTACACTTCCATATTACATCGAGTCGTATTTGGAAATGTTTTGCTGCTATACAAAAATTTCAGAGTTTGATAGTTTAAACATCGTTAAACTATTTAGATGTATATCTCGTTACTCTCAAGTGTGTAACACGACTGCTCTTTGATATGATGCGGAATAAGATTACCGTAAAGGCCTGAAGTATTCTACAACCAATCCTTTTGTCTCGAATTATCAGAAAGAAAGCACATGAACCAATGTGTGGATATCAGATTGAATATTAAAGTCTAGAAAGGCCTAGATCATTGTCAACATGCATAAAACCATTTTATTTTGTATATATATTTGACTCTACAATACACCTTCTGAGAGACCATTAATAGGTGGGATCTGGAGGTTATTGTCTAATCAGCCGCATACACATCAGTCACTACAGAATATAATAAGTGATGACTGTGGTAATAAAACTCCTCTCTATGCATTCGTTCATGTACACGTAAACTGGTAAACAAACTTGAATATCAGGCAAACGTTACCATGGTATTAAGGTTTATACCTAAATATTGTAGTCAATTTCAATAGGCCAACATAGACTACTCAAAAAAAGACATAATATATCGTGTTGCGATCTCAAAAAAATGCTCACTTTACTGTGTCTGATAATCAGTACATATTCCGTTGAACATTTTACTAGTCATTAGAAACCATTAGGGTATATCTCATCTGTACCTTGTCTGAAACTTTTCTACGTATTCGATTAATTTAGTATTTTTTTTGATAATCAGATAAGTTCCTTTGTATTGTTTACGTTTGTCTTCTTTTTTTTTTATCCTCATTCATTTTGTTGTTAGCATTGAATTGTTTTCCTCTTTTTCTGATAGATAATCACTTGATATTCATGTTTTTTTTATTTATTTCACTGAAAGTTATTGTAACCCTTTGTTTTCAAAAAAGGATTTCCTTTTTCATTTTGTAAATACTTTTTTCATTGTTTAATAAGTTAGAGGATTAAAAAGGTTTCCAAATACAATTCAGTGTGATACTTTTATCATGGAAAAATATCATGAAGACTATTTTCACTCTTGTATATATATTCATAGATATTTTTTTGACAAAATCATTTAAAAATTTACGTAGCAGTAATATTCAAGATTATTTATGTTTGATGACAGAATAGTTGTTTCGATATCAATATTGAGATGATAAGCAAAATGAAAGTTTGATGAGTAAATAACAGATGTACAGTTAAATTCCTTGACAGCAAAACACTTGAATCGTAAGCCTTGTAAAGTATAAACAGACGTGAGGATAAATATACAACGATGCCTCTAGATGAAGATTACGCTATATTGCTATTTAATAGAAGTTAGAAAATCTAGTGTTCAGTAATTCCACCTATGATGTCATTATGGGTGTGAACTACTGAGAACGAAACAATTGCCTAATGCTTTGATGTTACTCCATGATGATTACCGATTGGAAATCAATAAATCCTAACAAACTTACACACTGAGTAAACCAATGAGAAACGGGAATAAAAATTATGTTCTCGTTTATTTTAACCTTTCGATGACCTATAAGTCTTACTACTATGACTACATTAAATAAAATCAGATATATAAGTCAACTGAAAGAAAGTTCTAGAGGTAAAATGAACGTTTCTTAGAACGCGTTTCTAGATATCCTATGGAATACTAGATTTGAAAACTAACAACTACTGGCCTGCTCATCATATTTTTTCGCCATGACAGACCGTGTCAGATGGTTCACTCATGTACACTTTTATGCAAATAATTCAGGGTTAATGAATTATGCATATATATATATATACTCGCTATCTGTTATTACTATCATCTTTGGAACTGATATGGCCTCTTGCATGAGTCCTCAATGTTATCCAGTCTACTGACGTTACCAGATAGACCATATGATAACGCATCTTTCTACTTTTCTAAATCAATCCAGTTTTGGTTATTTCTTCAAAACGACTACAGATTTTCATTAAATACAGTCCTGGTTATATTTCATGACGAACTTGGTTATCGAATAAAATACCTACTTATGTCATTCAGTTAACTATATTCTCAAACAATAATCTTGGTAATAATTTTTTACTAGTACAGACTGTCGATGAACCAGTGGTGAACTTTTCCCTCTCTAACATGGCTTTCCGTCTCCGACTGCATTCTTACTGAAGGTTTCTTGAAACGACATAAAAATGTGATATGCTAACCGTATCATATGCATTCCTGAGAAAGTTACTGGAATCCATGTTAAAAAGCTATGAATTGAACTGAGAATAAAGAGTTTGGTTAACAGTATGTAATCTTAGAAAGGGAGAAACAACAGTTGAAAGCTTTTATCCCTTCTAAAATGTCTGTAAACGTGAAAAAACTTTATTGATATTGATAAACTGTTTAAGTATTTTGCTAGCAGTAGATAAAAAAAAACTTTTATCAATATATTCCCCCTTAGTAAAGATGTACGTCTTCCTGTTCAGTTGCAACGTGCCATGGCAGCGGAAGCTGAGGCGGCTAGAGAAGCCCGTGCAAAGGTTAGTAGACTTGTTTTTAACTTTATTATATATTAGACTTTGTTGTATTTCAGTTGGCCAACATTTTCAACGTTTTTGCATTTAGCTTAAGTATTTGATGATTAGCTAATTGACTATAACTGCTGTTATTATTATTATTTCTCCCTTGGGTTCCTAATGGAACATAGGGCTTCACTAGCACGTCTCCATTCCACTCTCTTCTATGCAAACATTTCAACCTCGCTCCACCACTGCCCACAAGCTCTCATTTCTTCCTCGCACCATCTCCTCCATGTCACCCTCTCCTCCGACGCCCAACTCGTCGCTTCCCATCTGGGTTCCACTCGACAGCCTGGCCTGGTGCGTGATGTTCTCAGTCGGCCTTCTCAGTATATGTCCAATCTATCTTGACTTCCTCCCGCACATTTGTTGAGTGAAGGGTTCTCGCTTCGTTGGTTCGTTCCCAGACTTCCTTGTTGCTTGTTCTTGTTATTCTGGCCATCTGATCTTCAGTAACGAGCCAGTGTAGGTAGTTGTTGATGTATGATATCTGTAGTTTGTTGGAAATCCCTTTCGTAACGCGCCAAGTCTCTGAGCCGTACAGAGGCAATGACTTGACGTTGGTGTTGCTTTAGGAAACATAATTTTGGAATAAAATCATCCCGGTATCTTATGTACATAAAGAGATCTAGTGTGAAGGCTAAAGTAGTCGAAATCATTTATTCCGAAAGGGGCCACGCCAACTGTAACAACTTATCATGTTGGAAAGCCTTGTAGTTGGATAGCTTAAAACATCTACACTCATCAAACTGAAATCACTACTTTTAACATAAATTCAGTGAGCATTGGAAAAATTTGCAGCTATAGGTGTATGACATTTTTGGGATTCTACTGGAAAATTTCTTGAGGGTATGATATACGGAGGAAATGGCAACTTCATACAATTATTTCCCTTCACAAATTTAAATAGAAAGAGAACAACTAATTCAGCATAATAGGGAGGATTCACTTCATTTTTGCAGTTTCTCATCAGCTGCTCACAACCTAATTAAACATATTTTCACTCTGACTATCTGAGATAGCCGTAGTTTGGCATACTAGTATTTATACTGAGTGATGATTGAAGGTGAAATGGAAATTTCGACCACGGCCGGATTCGAACCAGTCACCATAGGTTTTACAGCCCGCTGCTCTACCAACTGAGCTACGAGATCTGACTGCTGACCAGATTTTTATTTCATTTTATGGAATTTTAAACAGGGTGTTATACAATTAATATTGCGCATAATAGTAACTAACGAGAAAAGGAGCAAAGATGAATTGTTACGTCAAGTGGTAAATTGCTGATGGCAGTTGGAGACAGTCCAGGAAAAACACGATGGCTAAAACTGTAATAATAATATAAACATTAAAATACAATTATTATCATTTGTGGTGTGAATACGACCAAGCAGTAGTAACGCATCAGTAAGTCACATAGTAGTTGGGTAAAACAGATGGTGATTTGAGTGCAATAAGAATTTGGTGAGCAGTTGGGTCTTGTAGCTGAGTTGGTAGAGCAACGGGCTGGAGATTTGGTGATGTCTAGTTGGAATCCGGCCGTAGTCCAAACTTTCATTTCAAATTCTAACATCACCCTGTTTAAAAAGACTTGACATCTGGACATAGTCTGCTTGATGGCTCACAGTAGATTCCTAAAGGTGCGTTTCGTCCAATATGGCACTCGCCAACTGGATATAATTGCCTATTGAATGGGGTTTGGAGCTTGAAATGATGGGTACTGTTCTGCAGTCTCAGTTGGGAGAACATCACTAGCTAAGGTGCAGAAGCATGCAGCTGATGAGTTCCAAAGAGACCAAAACATCCATTAGAGAATCTACTGTTAACCAAAAAGCAGATTAAAATAAACCAAGTAATTGGGCAATATCAAGGCGTCTGCATAGGAACCAATCTACCAACATAGGTTGAGCAGTTTGACCCTGTATTATTATTATTTATTACTTTTCCCTTGGGTTCCTAGTGAAACAAAAAGTTTCAGTAGCACGCCTCCATTCCACTCTGTCCTCTGCAGTCTTGTGGACCTGGCACCATGACTACCAATAAGCTTTCATTTCTTCCTCACATAATCTCCAGATCACCCTCGACACCCACGCACAACTCGTTGTTTCCCCTTTGGATTCCACCAGACGACATGGCCTGGAGCGTGATATCACCAATAGGCCTTCTCAGTGTATGCCCAATCAATCTCCACTTCCTTCTCTATACTTCTTGGGCGATACCTTCTTGAGTAATTCGTTGCCACAGTTCCATGTTGCTTATTCTTGTTATTCTGGCCATCTGATCTTCAGTATCGAGTGAGCGTAGGTGGCAGCTGTTGATGAGTGTCTGTAGTTTGTTGGAAAAGCCTACCATGACATGCCCAGTTTCTCAACCATATAGAAGCATTGACTTGATATTGGTGTTGAAAATCTGGATGTTGTTCACGCTTTGTGTTGAGTGGAGTAGATCTCTACGCTGAATCCGATTGATGAAAGCCTGTCTTGTTTTTCCGATGCTGGTTTTGGCATACTTGTCTGTGCCATCATCCGCCTGTAGTTGAGACGATGGTGACTAGGTGGGTAGATGAAAGAGACTACTTCTCTCAGGTTTCTCCAGTTGATGGTGATTGGTGCTTGTTGTTGATGCTGTTTTTGCATGGGTGTTTTCATCACCTCCATCTTCTCTACATTAACTTGAAGTCCGGTTTTCGCTGCCCTCCCTCTTGTCAACTTGTTGATTTTCGCCGGTAGATCTTCTAATTTGTGCGACGAGAAGTAATACATAAATCCTCATCGTTGGCAAAGTCCAAATCTTCTAGGGTCTTTTCATCGGTTCAGGCAGCTTATGTGCATCTTCTTGTTCCTCACGGTTTGCTACATGATCCAGTCCACCACTATAAGGAAGATTGTCTGTGATGGTCGACAGCCTTTGTCTTACTCTTTCCTGTCTTCACTTCGAACGCGTCACTGAGCTTCCCATTGTGGGTCACTTGGCATGTAGCATTATATAGCATATAGCTGTTGAATGAGGTTGATAAAGGTTTGTGGTATTCCGTAGTGTTGAAGCGGTTGCCAAATTAATTCTCGGTCGACGCTGTCGAAAGCCTTTTCAAAGTCGATGAAGTATAGTTGGAGAGTTGACTGCTATAATATATTCTGTTTTATGTATACCAACGCGATATTACAGATTCAAAGCAAACTAGGATCATTTTAATAGGGAATTTTTGGCTCAAAATAAAGATAACATCGATATCAAACTGATCCAAGTATGCAAACATTGATATTAACTGACATTAAAATTGTTTTCAGTTGTAAGCAGTTGGTGAGAAACTTAAGAAATTAAATAGATTGACACTATTTTGCTAAAGCTGTAAATCGCACTTCATTCAAACGGTAATCGATAGACACAGTTATGTGAAGACCAAATGTAAACGAATGACGGTTATGTCCATAACGAACAAAATGAAATGAAAGAAACATTAACAAGTATGAGAGCAATAATGCGAAATCTCATAAATCACCTCAACTTGGAAACTAACCGATTGATTTTAGTAATAGTCAATAATCTTGCAACTGATTCATATAGGAATAGCAATTTATGATTGGTCTGTTTAGAGTGGCAAGTGAGAAAGTGGCAGTTCATTGAAAAACCAGTTACCAATTAATTATTACAAAAAAAATGAAGAATTAGCCTATTAGTACAGTTAACAGTGCCAGTGAGTCGAAACAAAGCAATTCACAGCAACTTTGATGAGAACAAAGAATTCGACTATTTAGAATGTAACTGATCACTAAAAGATTTATTTATCTCGAACAAAAACTTGGTATGATGTAGGCACGAAGGAACATGTCGTACAAACTCATATACTAGTTGGTCATTTCTGGCGATTAAAGTAACCGAAGGTAGTAAAATGCAGTGACCACTGATTAGATGATACAGATAGATATAGACAAGCTTGACAATTTTGATATTATATAAATCAAGAGTGTTTTCTAGTTTGGAGCGTATATGTTCACTAGTTACTAGCCGGTCCTAAGCCAGGGTAAAGAGGAAAGGTTGGGCATAGGGCTAGCAACCCTTCCCCGTAAAACAAATCTAACCGCTAAAGAAACTTCAAAGCACAGACAAAATGTAAAAAATGAAAACAAAATTATTCCTCGCTGGAATTGGAGAGACAAAATGACGCCAGTTGATGAGAGCCTTCGGGAAGCCAATTGGCCGATGTGTCTTCTCTCCCTAGATGAAAGTGAAAGTAAACATGGGGACATAGAATGTCAGCATCATGTTTGAACCCAGCAATAAGAACTAGTATAACTTTTTTCACTGCTTATTTCATGATTTACCGAAAACTAATACGCTGTATATTTCATTTAATTTTCTTTTTCCATTCAGGTTATTGCTGCTGAAGGTGAATGGAAAGCATCAAGAGCACTCAAAGAAGCTGCAGATGTGATCACTTTATCACCTTTTGCTATACAACTAAGATATCTTCAAACATTAAGCACAATATCAGCGGAGAAAAATTCTACTATTATATTTCCTTTACCAGTTGATTTGGTCACACATTTTATGCATAATAATCGTGGATCAAATAGCAATAAGAATAACAACGATAATAATAATAATAATAATACCAGTACCAGTGTTAGTGGTAGTAATAAAGCCAAAATAACTCCACCACCTCGCCTTGGTATGATAGATAGTGGAAGTAATAAGAAACTATTGGAAGCACTCCCATCAACAGTATCTATTATCAGTGGGGTGATACCGACCTCTTTGTCAGATGCAGCATCAATAGGTGATCTACCAATTCAACATACATTAAATGATAACAATAATCAATTTGATGTTTAAATAAACTATGAATAGAAAAAAGTTAATTTCAGGAGACTTGTTCAAGAGTCAATATTCAATGCTTCTGTATACATTTCAATGATTTAATTATGAAAAGAAAAAAATGAAATTTAATTGTATTGAAATCTTTTTTCCCCCTTAGTTTCTCGTTTGTTCCCCTTCTTATTCATATCTGCTTGATCTAACATAAGCATTTATTTATTATTTGCATTTAAAGTGAATAGATGAATACTCTACTTCTGCTGATCTAGTCTTGTCTATGTTTATGTGCATGAACACAATTTATTATGATGAATGGAAAGTTGTTTTGTTTTGTTCAACCTTGAATACTTTTATCTTTTTTTTGGTTCTTATCAGTGCAATATCATCAATGTTTTCATTATTATTATTATTATTATTATTATTATCATCATTATGGTCGTCTAAAACATTGTTCTCATCATTAGAATTTGTGTATATCTCTGTTAAAGAACAGAAATCATATTGAATAGCATAAATTAGAGAAGACAATAAAGAGCATTGATGAAAAACTTCAGTTTGTTTTATTATTGTCTAATTAGTTACATTATAAGAATGATATGCATTCCTTATTTGTATTATGAAACAAATGAATAATTGAACAATTGTAAATACTTAAATACTGATAAAAGCATTTTCCATTGACGGGTTTTTAGTGTACAATTTTAGTTCTTAGTTTCACTTAATTATTACTGACATATTTGTTGGTGTTGTTAACATCTTATTCAATTTCTGTATTCAACTGATATACAATCATGAAATCATTAATTCATATACACTAACATTCAGGACTGTTGACTTTACATTATTATTATTATTATTATTATTCATATTGATGTTGAGTATTACTTTCCTCAGATAGTTTTGCTCTATGATTATCTTATTCTGGATATTTCAGTTATTGTTTTACTCAATGTATTCAAATACTGATTGGTTTCTATTGATGTTTCTCCTCTATTGTGGTTATTACTGTTGACAGTAATATATTTATAGTATATAATTTTATAAGGTCAATAGTCGATTCTATGTGACTAAGGTTTCATGAGTTATCGCTGATATTATTATTATTCATATTTCTGAGTTACATATTTACAAAACATTTAACAAACTTACCATGAGTTTAGAAGCAGCATTTCGTAAATTATGTCTGTTTCTGTATTCAACACAAACAAATATATATCCTTTATTCTTTTCTTCTCTTTTCTCTAATTTTTCTGAATGATTTTCTCAATGTTGCTAAGTATCTCAATTCATAGTATTATTCCAAGCAACAAAGTAAAACAATACTAATCACAGTATAATCTGTATAAAGATGATTATACTTTGAAATTGCATGCAATCGAGACAGGGAAGTAAGTAAATCATTCATTTTTCCAATTCATATTCATACACCATCAACTTACTTTCACTTATATCTATGTGACCACTTTCATCGTAATAACATACATTCATTAATTGTCTTTGTTTGTTTTTTTTTGGTTTGCTATGCAATATTTATTTGTAATTAATAAAACATGTATCATTCATCTAGTCCGTTGACTGAATTCAATAAGTAAGATTAAATTCTATGATAAGACAAATACTACTTATGAAAACATGACTGTTATACTGGATAGGTGTGACGTTTTATGCGTTTAAAACGTTTAAAAATACCCATCGTGCAGATGAGAACAAAATACATAAGCGAACAATATGGTTTTCATTTATATCCTTTACAAGATTTACTAAAATATTTTATATTGGGTGATGATTGAAGGTGACAAAAGAATTTTGAACAGCGGACGGATTCAAATAATGTGATGTAATTGTGAACTCAGTGGTCAATGGATCGAATTCGGCCGTGATCAAAATTTTAATCACCATGCAATATAAAATAATAGTCTGCCAAACAACGGCTGTCTAATAATAATTTACAATTGTACAAATAGCCAAATATACACATATAAAAACTAATCCAATCATCTAGATTTGTTGGTCAGTATGATAAATATCTCGAAATAACGATGGTGAATAATACTACAAATAATAATAATAACAATGATAATAATGGTAAAAGTGATAATATTGGCCAAAGCACTTCCAATACACATGATGATGATGATGAGAACCAGGAATGCAGCATGGAAATGTAGACACCACGACGATGATGATCAAAGTGAGTGAAAACCTTGGGGAAATCGAAGTTGCATAATACTGAAGGAGGAGATAAGTGGATAAACAAAGTGTGAACAAATATAGTGAGTATATGAAAGGAGTGAAGAATAAGAATATGGGATAGATAAGGGATATACAAACATCTTCTGGAGACAAAGACAAGGATTATTGGTCGGAATTTTCACAGCTTCCTGAAGCTGTGTGTAAAAGATGAATTGGAACAGGTTTTGAAATATGAGGTGGTATGTGGTGTAAAATGTGACGACTGTGAACGAGGTGATAGGAAAGCGAACATGTGATGGATTTTATCTGTCTCTTTCCCAAGTGCTTCAGTCGACTTTCTCCCTTCCCTTATTTGTGTATTATCAAGTTTCAGAATATCGCTTCCACATGCGCACTTTTTAGTTGGACCTAAAAACAGTTTATTGTTTTATGTTTCATGAGAGTTTTGATGCCAACAGCGATAACTGACTGAGAACAGTTGTTTTATATATTCTTCATCACTGGTTATCGATTCATTTGTTCAGTTTACAACTGATTCACGCCATATATGTTTACCGAAGCATCATTTCAGCTACAGGCGGTATAGACAAGGATGTCAAAACCAGGATCGGAAAGACAGCAAGACAGGCCTTCATTGACCTGAAACCAGTATGGAAATCTTCTGCATTCACCATGTGGAACAACATCCGGATTTTCAACATCAACGTCAGTCAAGTCAGTGCTTCTGTACTGCTCAGGGACTTGGTGGGTTTCGAAAGGGATTTCCAACAAACTACAGATATCATACATCAACAACTACCTACACTGGCTCGTTACTGGAGCTCAGATAGCCAGAATAACAAGAATAGGCAGGGAGAAACTCTGGGAACGAGTCAGCGAAGCAAGAACCCTTCACTCAACAAATATGTGGGAGGAAGTCAAGATAGATTGGACATATACTGAGAAGGCCGACTGGGAACATCACGCACCAGGCCAGGCTGTCGAGTGGAACTCCCATGGGAAGCGACGAGTTGTGCGTCGGAGGAGAGGGTGACATGGAGGAGATGGTGCGAGGAAGGAATGAGAGCTTGTGGGCAGTGGTGGAGCGAGGTTGAAAGGTTTGCATAGAAGAGAGTGGAATGGAGACGTGCTAGTGAAACCCTATGTTCCATTAGGAACCCAAGGGACGAATAATAAAATAATAATAATGTTTGCCAAAACGCATTATTTAAAAGAATAAATAACGATCGCTTTATTCCGAGCAGTACATAAGATACAGTATGGAACTCTGTGAATGTAGTAAGTATCTCATCAAAGTCACTTCGAGAAAGATATTTGCGAACTAAATGACAATTGTATTTGAATGATGTTAATAGTGACAGTATTAAAGGTAATCACATGAAATGGCCAGCTGATGGTGGATTAGCTTCTTTTCTAAAATTGAGATTAGCGGTTTGTTGATGATGGCTCATCCAGTCTATAAAAGAATCTGCAATTCAAAGGACAAAAGGTTCATTTCCATCTGAAGTGACACTTTTTCTTCATGTTATTATTAAGTCAAGAAATAGGTGGTTGGAAACATATTTAAAATATGTACAAAAGGACAAGTTACTTTCAGACGACATATATGAATGCTTAAAACAATTTGAAAGAAAATAATTTCATATGTATGTTCATTGGAAATTTTACTGCCACAGGGGTCAAACAGGTAGACGTAGTTTCATTTATAGTCTGTCAAATGCAGTTGTGGAATCTAGTACACTAAATTTCCAGGATCGGCATATAAACGAGCACTTTTAAGGCACTCAGAAACTCATCGATTGGACATTGAACAAGATGGATTCTTCACAGACTTCATTACCTTCCCATATTCAGAGACAATTACATGAATGATACAATGTAGAACCTGGCACAGAAGTGTATGAATTCAATCTTCAACACTTCACAGTAGAATACCAGGAAGAATTCAGCACTAAGGTAAATGAATTTGTCCCAGAATTAGAACAGTAGATGAATGTTAGTGCAAGTGTTCAGGACTTCAAAAATGAATATACACATGTGTACCATTGTGACCTATTTTCCTCCGGATTACAAAATTTCAGCAACTACTGAATCGATTTCTAACAAGTAGGCCACTAGGTAGTCAACACCACCTGATAAAGCTCACATTCACAGCGAAAGACTTCTTGAAGTGGTGCTATGAACTCACAGATTGACTTCATTGTGTCACTCTTCAATAGCGCTGTCATTAGAGTACATACCTTTTACTTGGAGTTAAATACCCAGTGACTTACTTGTACTGTTGTTTTCATAGATCTTCTCTGAAAGTCTAAGACGTTTCAAAGGTTTCCTAGTAGAATACTATCTTTCTCATATCTTATCTCATAGACATTTGACGTCAGCAAATCTTATGGAAATGACTAGTCTATTATCTGTTAAATTTAGGGACATCTCTCTCTTGGGATAAAGTAAAAGCTGAATGAGTCGTGTACTAGTGATACGAAGTGTATAGTGAAACTGTCTGTTACTAAACCAAAGAGCTATAGTTTTAATGCTAACTAAGCTCGTAAGTAGATAAAAGTAGACGTATGAAACAACCTTACTGACCAGTCAATAAACTATGGGAAAATCTTCAAAACAAGACATCACAAAACATGAGGATAAGTGAATTTTAGTATTTGAATATCAGCTGATGTTTCTTCTCTGTTTTGTCATTAAACTGTCAGTCTTTTTGACGCCACCATTCCTGTAGTTATTGGTTACATCCATCTTCTCCTCATCATTTTTTAATAGTTTTACATTGTTAAAACTATCTCAGCTGTCATTCTTTGTCTCTTCTAAATATT